CCAAGGTCTCTCTCTCTCTAACTGGAACGGGCCCCTGTCTTCCAGCTGAGTGTCTTCAAACAACAACAACATAGAGTGACTCACCTTGGGTCATCTAAGCTAGTCCCAGGTTGGAAAGCTGGCTGGGCAATGAATGGGCCTGGTTTGGTGTCTAACACGTCAGCCATGCACAGGGCTTTGGAGATCATTTCGGCTCAGTTCTTGTAACAGCTGAGGAAATATGCTACCATATTCATGAAGTGATTTAAATACTGAAATACTGGACACATTTCTCAAACTTCATGTAAGACACATTTGAGTCCCTAGTGGTTGTCTGTGACTAAGCGGAAGTGTGTGTGTGTGTTAGTTGTTCAATCATGTGCAACTCTTTGTGACCCCACAGACTGAAGCCCACCAGGCTCCTCCGTCCATGAATTCTCCAGGCCCAGAATACTGGAGTGGCTTATCATGCCCTTCTCCAGGGGATCTTTCCCATGCAGGGATCGAACCCGGGTCTCCTGCATTGAAGGCAGATTCTTTACCATCTGAGCTACCGGCATAATTACCCCATCACAATAAAATTCCAGGGGTGAACCTGTTGATGTTTTGTGCTTGCTCCTAGCTGTTGCTCAGTGAGTATTCATTGAACAAATCAAGATGGTCTGTAAGCTCTGAAAGTGAAAAGTGAAAGTGAAGTAGCTCAGTCGTGTCCGACTCTTTGTGACCCCGTGGCCTGCAGCCTACCATGCTCCTCCATCCATGGGATTTTCCAGGTGAGAATACTGGAGTGAGTTGCCATTTCCTTCTCCAGGAGATCTTCCCGATCCAGGGATTGAACCCCGATCTCCCGCACTGTAGGCAGCCACCTTGCCGTCTGAGCCTTCGGGGACGATTATAAGCTCTACAGGGACCTGGGTAGTAGCTGTAGGTCCGCGTTTTGTTCACACCTAGGAATCCAGACACAACCGATCTCTGTAGAGTAAAAATTGGAGTGCCCTAGTTACGCGGATGGATGGTACTGTTGCCAACTGTTTTGGTTGTTTCAGCTGCTTCTTTCTTCTTCGTGATTCCCTGGAGCCTTGTATCTATCACGGAAGCTCCGGGTCTGTGGAACCGGTGATAGACCTGGGCTGCTCATGCTGTCGGGTGAGAGGCCTGCGATCTGGAGAATGTGCTGCTTTGGCCACAGGGAGGCGCTCTGGCTCCGCGGAAACGCCGAGGCTGGTGGGGGAGGGGCCGAGAGGGGCTGGTGCGGAAGGGAGCAGGGCGTTGGACTTCCATACTTGTGTAAGTTGGGTGATTTGCAGACTTCTCAGAGACACTGAAGCAATTTTCAAACTGAGATCCATTTGCCTTGTGTTGTTTTCTTGCGGCAACCTGTTTGCTTTAAGCCTAGTCAAGCCCTGTACCCTCAATACAGGCACAAGTGAAACTGAAAGTCGCTCAGTCGCATCGGACTCTTTGCGACCCCATAGACTATATAGTCCATGGAATTCTCCAGGCCAGAATACTGGCGTGGGTAGCCTTTCCCTTCCCCAGGGGATCTTCCCAACCCAGGGATCCAACCCAGGTCTCCCACATTGCAGGCGGCTTCTTTATCAGCTGAGCCACAAGGGAAGCCCCTTAACAGGCAGAAAGAATGGCTTATCTCTTGTATGGTCCTCTCAGCACTCTTCCCAGGGTCTGGCTCCTGGCTGGCATCACAGCCGTGCCTTTTAATGATGGGCACTGGTCCAGAACAGGACTATGACCTTCCAGGTTTCCTCCCTCCACACATTTGGGCAAAGGAGCTCCAGGGAGCTTGTTGTTCACTCGGTGGTGTCCGACTCTTTGCGACCCCATGGACTGCAGCATGCCGACTTCCCTGTCCTTCACGATCTCCCGGAGTCTGTTTGAATTCATGTTCCGAGTCGGTGATGCCATCCAACCACCTCATCCTCTGTCATCCCCTTCTCCCCCCGCCTTCAGTCTCTCCCAGCATCAGGGTGTTTTCCAGTGAGTTAGATCTTCACATCAGGTGGCCAAAGTATTGGAGCTTAGACACGGAGAGAAATGGTGTTTTGAGTGTTGTCCTGCCTGACTGAACAGGGAAGGAGATGTCTTGAAGGGGGTATAGTCTGTCTGAGAGGGGCTCTTGGAAGGGAGCAGGACAGGGGGAGAATCTACATAATGAGGAGAGCAGCTAACAGCAAAATCGCTCACTGTCAAAGGACTACCCCAGCCCAACAGATTCAAATCTACCTGCTATCAGAATCTATATAAGGCATGAAATGGGAAGAGGAAACATCCTTGGGGCTGGGAAACTGACAGGGACACTGACGTCAGAGACAAAACCGCCAACCAAGGCTGAGGAGGCCAGAGCCCACCCACCCCACCCCCAACACACACCCAGAGCATCCACCTTGACGCTGACTCCACCATGGACTTCGGGCAGCTCTGCTGTGTGGTCCTCTGTCTCCTGGGCATAGGTGAGTCTTGAGTTCACACAGGCTGCCCCCAGACCCCGAACCATTTCCCTGTGGCTGCAGCAACACCTTCCCCTCTGGCCTTTGTCTGAATTCTGTCCTTTTCTCCCAGCCATCTCTGCAGACCCTGGGATCACTCAGATACCAAAATACCTAGTCATGGGAATGATGGACAAGAAATCTTTGAAATGTGAACAACATCTAGGACATAATGCTATGTACTGGTATAAACAGAGTGCCCAGAAGCCGCCAGAGCTCATGTTCATCTACGACTACAAGGAACTCGCTGAAAATGCGAGTGTTCCAAGTCGCTTCCAGCCTAGATGCCCAGAGAGTTCCCAGTGCCTCCTGGACCTGAATGCCCTGAAACCACAGGACGCTGCCGTGTACCTCTGCGCCAGCAGTAGAGACACGGCCCTGCAGAGTCAATTCCTTCCAGTGCACAAACCTCCAGGCTGCAGGCAGGAAGCCGTGGGGCCATCCAAGTCTTGGTTTAGCATTTGCCATCACACCACAGCCCTGCCTGCGGGGTCACGTGGCATGGCAGTGGAGAGTTTCTTCACAACATCAACAGTGTGTGCTGGGCTCGTCCTGGGAAAGACTGTGCCAAGCCAATCAAGTTTAAGCAGGTTCTTAATCTGCTTTTCCCAATTGCTTTGATCCTCTGGGAACCCTTTCATGAGACCCTTGACCCTCTGACCACAGCAGTCCTACTCATCTTCCTTTTCAAAGTTGCCTTTTTCTCTGACTTCCCCTTCCATCCAAGCTAGACCCTGGATCTCAGCCCAGATCCCAGCTCCAAATATGCTCAGACCTTCTTCAAAACACCTCATTCTCCAGGGTCTCTGTCTGTTCCTGCCCTTGAGGGCCACGGATCCCTGATCCTGCTGGGATCGCTATTCTCCAGTTCACCCTCCTGGCTGCTCATTCAAGGGCTCAGCCCTTCACTGGCTTTTCTTCCACTCTAGCCTTAACCCTTCAGGCTTGATTCCTTTTTTCTTCCATCTGTTCAGGTCTTCACACCCTGCTATATCAGCCATAGAGTCTGATATCCTTGGATCATTGCTCACAACAGCCAGTGAGAAGTGGCGTCCTCCTGCGTTTCAGAGCAGGACTTTGAGTTCGGGGTTGTCTTTGCTGAACCTCGTATCTTCCAGCCCTGGGGTTGCACACACCCGCTGCTCAGGGCTGGCAGAGAGCCCTGTGTCCTGGAGGGTGAGCTGTCTGCCATCTTTACAAAGGCTCCCTTCTGTCCCCTGCAGAGGGTCCTCCAGGGATGGGGACCCCTGACAGAGCCCCGAACCATAACACCTCTGGCCAAGTCGATCCACACAGTGATTCTATTCTATGTCTTTAGAGTGTACAGATTTTTTTTTTTTTTAAAGCTGAGTGTGACAATGCCCTGGCAAATGGTTAAAAGATAAACACATCCCCACCTAGTATTTTAATGCCTTGCTTATTGTGAAATAAACAAGTCTGCTGTAAAGTGGATGGTTGGGCTTAAGGTTTCACAGGGATCCTCTAAACAAACGCCAGCACCCCTGGGATCCTCTAAACAAACGCCAGCATCCCAGGACTCAGGCCCTACATGGGCCCAGAGGATAAGAAGGATGCTGCTGCCCTATGGGGGGGTGCATGGCTGGGAGCTCAGCAGGTGCCTGGCTTCTGTGCCTCTCCTTTTCAGGAACCCCTGCAGCCAAGGCTGTGGTCACCCACGGCTGAGCAGCACGGAGCTTTGGGAATCAGATAAGGACTCCCAAGCAAAGGTCCCAGGGCTGGAGTCCCCGCAAAGGACAACGAGAGACCCAGGCTTCGGGAAGCAGGTGTGAGAAATGTGTCCTCTGTCTTCACCAGTTCTCTTATCCTGTAATCCAACTCATCTGTTCTCTGATTTGTCCTGTTCCCACTCAAGGCTAGACCCTGAGCACCACCATGATCAAAGTCCCACATCTGCACAGGCCCTTGCTCTCAACCCCTCAGGAAGCCAGCAGGCCCCTGCCTCTCTCAGCTGAGGGTCAGTGTGCTGGGCTGAGTGCTTACCTTCTCACCCACTCTCCCTCCCTTGCACTGAAATGTCCTTCTAGGCTTCCGGTCTCAACTTCTCACTGCATTTCCTCTCCACGGTGACACTTGTAGGGTTATTCTTTTTGTTTTGTTTCCGTTTGTCTCTTGATTCCCCATGTTTTCATCATCAGGCTCAGAACTATGAGACACAGACTCCATGCCCCCAGACTGTGGCTCTGAATTGGCCGTTGGAGGGGAGTGGGTCCCACCCGTTTGTTGGGACCTTCACACCTGGCCTAGGTGTCCTGAAGCCTGTATTCTCCCAGGGTCCCCCTGCAGCTCGGGGGCTGGGAGTCTGCACCCCTCAGGACACACAAGGGCCAGTCCTAAGAGCATCACATGTCCATGGACACTAAGGCTCCCTCATGTGGGGGCACTCCTGAATCTGTGGGTGCTGCCCAGGACTGTGATGTCATCACAAGATCTCCTTCCTGGGGCTGCTAAGGACCAGATGCCCAACTGGGAGAGGCTTCAGCTCTGCCAGACCCCGCCATGGACAGCAGGCTCTTGTGCTGGGCGATCCTTGGTCTCCTGGGAGTGAGTGCATCCTGGGGGTGTGTGGGAAACTCCTATCCTGTTCCCTTGACCCAAAGCCAGTTACACACCTTTGCCTCATTCTCTTTCTGGCCCTGTGCCCTTTCACAGGACACTTGGTACCTGGTGTCAGCCAGAACCCTTGCTACTACATCACAGAGATGGGATGGGATGTGACCCTGCGGTGTGATCCCATGCCTGGTCCTCTGTATCACAGTGGTACCGACAGAAAGGGCATGGAGTTTCTGATGTCCATCTACAACAAAGAACTTTCAGAAAAGGCACACTTTTTGGAGGATCGCTTCTCAGCTGAGATGCCCAACAGTGTGTAGCTCACTCTGAAGATGCAACCCACACAGCTGGGTGACTCGGCCGTGTTCCTCTGTGCCAACAGCTCACCCACAGCCTCGCAGAGATGCTTCCTGCCCTTTCACAAACTCCACAGCGTCTCCATGCCCTGCTCAAGGCTGGGGTGGGTGGGGGTGGGGGTTTGGGAGGCTGAAGCTGCTTTCCATTTGCACAGGTCAAAATCAGCTTTAATTTGCACAAGAAGAAATGTTGCACAGGACATCTGGGACTGTGGTATTCAGGAAAGGCTCCCAGGCACCACAGAATGTGGCCATGGCCCCCAACAATGGGACCGACCTGGCCAATGAGTGACCTGGGGAGCCTACAGAGCAACCTCTGTATTCTCTTAAGCTCTCTGTGTTATTTCCTGTTTTGCAAAACATGCCTTCCTTCGGTCTTTGAGTTACTGCTAAGTCACTTCAGTCGTGTCTGACTCTGTGAAACCCCATCCCTGGGATTCTCCAGGCAAGAACACTGGAGTGGGTTGCCATTTCCTTCTCCAATGCATAAACGTGAAAAGTGAAAATGAAGTCACTCAGTCATGTCCAACTCATTGCGACCCCATGGACTGCAGCCTACCAGGCTCCTCCGTCCATGAGATTTTCCAGGCAAGAGTACTGGAGTGGGGTGCCATTGCCTTCTCTTTGAGTGGAGACTGGCTTACTGGAGAGGAGAGGGGAGACTCAAAAGGGAATACCCAGGAACCTCCAACTGGGAACTTTCCAGAAGACAAAGGATCTCAACAGCACACCTGAGTACTGGTGGGAGAAGAATGTTCTGAGACAGAAGGCAGACAAGGCCGAAGCACCTTGGGACCTGCCGGCCAGCATAGGGAGTTTCTTTGGCCCTGTGTATGTGACTTCATGAGCTTGCAGGGATCCAGGCCAACAAGAATGTCACCACAGAGGACAGGCTAGGCAAGAGCAAACACGCACAGAGCATCCCATGCCCAGAGCTGCTTGCTCTGAGCCTGATGGGTGAAGACAGGACTGACTTCTTAGAGGCCAAGACCTGAGGGTTCCTGAACAATGGCCTGGAGAGATTGAAAGTTTGTGGCTGTGCACCATGAGCTATGCTGGGATTCGTGACCTCCAGAGGAGAGGATTTTGATCCGGGGCCAGAGTTGACGCTTGATCACTTGAAGCTTTTGTGTAATAAAGTTTTATTAAAGTATAAAAGGGATAGAGGAAGTTTCTGATGTAGACATTAGAAACGGGTAGAAAGAGTGCCCCCCTTGCTAGTTTTTAGCAAGGAGTTAAATATCTGCTGGGGCTTCCCTTGTGGCTTAGCTGGTAAAGAATCTGTCTGCAATGCAAGAGACCTGGGTTCGATCCGTAGATTGCGAAGATCCCCTATAGAAGGGAAAGGCTACCCACTCCAGTATTCTGGCCTGGAGAATTCCATGGACTGTATAGTCCATGGGGTCGCAAAGAGTCCGACACGACTGAACGACTTTCACTTTCCACTTTCCTTTTCTATATATCTGCCAGCAAGTTGCTAATCAAATAAAGAATCACCTCAAAACTTTAAGAGTTGCATCAGGCCCCTCTCCCACAACATGCATTTTGAGATAGCATTGGCACAAGGTGAGTCATCCCAGGCCATAAAACAATTGACATAAATCTTAAAGAAAGGCAGATTTCCAAGCAAATATATAGTTTCATTGACAGAGCTTAAGAGAACATTTCCATGAGTAAGAGGTACTGGTTTGTTGAGCCACTACGCGTTCAAGGTTTGAGTGTTAGGGGGAACCAGTTTGAAGAAAGGCAGATTCTAAGGCAAATGCAGAGTTCATTAACATAGCTTAAGAAAAACATTTCCATAAGAAAAATGCACTGGTTAGCTCAAGGTTTGAGAAAAGTTAAGTTCAGGCAGAACCAGGTGTTGTCATGACACACAGAATTTAAAAGAAACCTTTTTATTTTGTATAGAGAAGGGGGAAAAAAAGTCTGCCACTTGCAGTTCATTTCCTCCACTTGGGGACACCTGGCCTTCTACCTGTTATCCTCTCAAGATGATGCAGAGAATGCTTCAGAAGGGAGGACTGGATGTCCCACTAATCAGGCAGGTAGACCCCAAGTATTCAGTTGTGAAATAAATTGGTGTTGGTATGCTAGTGAATTGAGTATTTTGTATTAGTGGTGGTAGATTAGTCACTAAGTCATATCCAACTCCTACAACCCATGAACTGTAGCCCACAAGGCCCCTCTGTCCATGGGATTCCCCAGGCAAGAATACTGGAGTGGGTTGCCATTTCCTTCTCTAGGGGATCTTCCTGACCCAGGGATCACACCCGCATCTCCTACATTGTGGGTGAATTCTTTACCACTGCACCACCAGGAAAGCCCTGTATTTTGTATTGGTTTCACACTTTTCTTTCTTTCTCCCTCCTCCCCTCCCTTCCTTCCTTCCTTCAAAAGGTTCCTCACCCTAAGGGATGAAAAGTATGCCTAGTGCATCACAGGGTCGCATATGATGAGGGGTCAACCAACCCTAAAGACTTCTCCTTCATGTTATGAATTACCAGTTCCTGTAGAAAAGGTATGCTGGGGCTACTAAGACAGAAACACCATAGAGAGAACATGTGAAATGAGGAGATGCATAGTCTCATATGTCTAGGGGAATGAAAGTGGTGCTGTTAATAATTACCCTTGAACATCAAAGTGAGACATACATTTATTCCACCTGTGTTCCACACCTGGGCTTCATCTCAGAGTCCTGAGCAGGAAGCGGCTTCAGGCTTGTGAAGACAGCTGTGAGGAGTGAGAGAAATGTCAGCTAAGAGTGGTGGTCATGGTGAAGAAGGAATTCATAGGGCCTGGACTCCATCTCAGGCCTGTCCGTGCTGGTCGTGCACGGCCACCTCTCCGGTGGACTCTGAACTCTGTGCTTAGCGCCTGTGGGAATGACAATGGAAGGATAAGACCCACTCTGAGCAGGGGAATCTTGAAGATCACATCCAGGTTACTCATTGCCTAAGAGAAAACAGACACCAATCACCCCTGCCTCCGGACAGTATCTATCTGAACGTAACCACAGGCTTATCAGTTATTAACTGGTTGGAATGTAACCGCGGGCTTATTGATTATTAAGTTTGAACACATAACACGTGAATGATGGGGTTATTGTGATTGTATTTACCCTTCCTTTGTAAGCCTCAAGGGATTTGGGGTGGTGGGTTTGGACACGTACACATGGGGTATAAAAGATTTTCACAAATGCTGGTCAGGGCCCTTGGCTAAGAGGAGACTCTGCCTTGGGCCCGCTGGTGTAATAATCTGCACTCCACTACCTGCATTGTCCTTCTTAGTGAGTTTGTTTCCTGGAAAGCATGGCTATAACAACGGCAGCTTCTGGGACTTTGCTGGGGGATTTTCCTGACAGGATGACCACGAATAAAGGAGCACTGACCTCGCTTCCCTGAGGGGCCACTAAGGGCTGAGCCCACCACAGAGCCCTACCCTTGTAATTACAAAAGTAAAGAATAGGATAGTGGTAAATTGTGGCAAGCAGCCCCAGTAACAACCTAGGGAGGTGGGATGGGGAGGGAGGTGTGAGGGATGTTCAAGTAGGAGGGAACATGAGTGAACCTATGTCTGATTCATGTTGATGTTTAGTAGAAACCAACACAATACTGTAAAGCGGTTATCCTTCAATTAAAAATAAAAAATTTTTAAAAATTCACAACCTGAAAGTTGAGAGTTATGTTTTATTCGGGGGGGGGGGGCGGATTTTTAGGACTTCAAGCCAAGGAGGCAGCATCTCAAGTAACTCTGAGAGAACCGCACCAAGGAGTGTGGGGAGGGGCCAGATTACATAGAAGTTTTGCAACAAGGGGAGGTGGTCTGAACATCAAAAGATTATTGTCAATTGAAAAGAAAACCAGCCATCCCAAGTGAAGGAATTTACTGCTTTTCTAAGTGTGGGGAGACTAGAGAGACTAGTCTAAGAGACTAGAGATCTCTTCAAGAAAATTAGAGATATACCAAGGGAACATCTCATGCAAAGATGGCCTCCATAAAGGACAGAAATGGTATGGACCTAACAGAAGCAGAAGATATTAAGAAAAGGTAGCAAGAATACACAGAATAACTGAACAAAAAAGATTTTCACGACCCAGATAATCACGATGGTGTGATCAATCATCTAGAGCCAGATATCCTGGAATGTGAAGTCAAGTGGGCCTTTGGAAGCATCACTACAAACAAAGCTAGTGGAGGTGATGGAATTCCAGTTGACTTATTTCAAATCCTAAAAGATGATGCTGTGAAAGTGCTGCATGCAATATGCCAGCAAATTTGGAAAACTCAGCAGTGGCCACAGGACTGGAAAAGGTCAGTTTTCATTCCAATCCCTAAGAAAGGCAATGCCAAAGAACACTCAAACTACCACACAATTACACTCATCTCACACGCTAGTAAGGTAATGCTCAAAATTCTCCAAGCCAGGTGTCAACAATACATGAACCATGAACTTCCAGATGTTCAAGCTGGTTTTAGAAAAGGCAGAGGAACCAGAGATCAAATTGCCAACATCTGTTGGATCATCAAAAATGCAAGAGAGTTCCAGAAAAACATCTATTTCTGCTTTATTGACTATGCCAAAGCCTTTGACTGTGTGGATCACAACAAACTGTGGAAAATTCTTAAACAGATGGGA